AATATATCTTTCTGAATATGTTATACAAGTTCTGACAATTAATGAAAAAATGGGTGGGGGATAAGGCCTAAAAATAATTGATATGGGGGGTGGTGGGTCAAAAAGTGTCATAGATAAATCAAGACAGATTTGAAGTTATATATATACAATTGTATATATTAACGCAGCATTTCACACGAAAAAATATTAAAAATCTTTTTTCATCTAAAAGGTATTGAAACTTTTAATTTTTTGATGGGTTTTATTGATACATCCTTTCACTTCCACAAATTTTAATTTTATTCTTAATACTTAGGAAAAGTGGCAATCTTGTTGTGTATTAATGAAAAATATTAAAACTTTAATCCAGAAAATTCAGGGTAGAAATGTTAGAAAAAAAAACATACACATATACACACAGTATATTATCAGTCTTTGCAGTTGTGGTGAGGAGACTTTAACAATTGAACACACCTGGCGAATCATAAACCTTAACAATGAAAGAGCTTGTGCCCTGCTTACAAGAAGTGTATATGTTTCACCGGTATTTACTAAACTTTGTACACAACACTACGCGCTGAATGATGATACTTGTGAAGGGTTTTTTATTTAGAACATTTCTACTCCAAATATCATTTTTTGGATTAGCTGCAGATCTGTAGCTCTCCGAAAAAATATATTGATAGACCGGAGAGCTACAGTGCCACCCATTGAAAAAACTGTATATTTATTGCGCACAAAAAAGTGCGCTCAGTTCTTGATAAATTCTTCCAAATTCTTACCTCTATTGCAAATAAGGAAAGATTTCAAAAAATTCCTTTATCTTCTATCAAGTACTCTCGTAGTTGACACCTGAACGAAGCATATTGGAGCGAATTATCTTTGAAACCAAAATGGCAGTATAAATAAGCGAAATGTTTGATGATTACTTTATCAGGATTAGGAGGACTATTAACAACAATTATGAGGAATGTTTGGTTGTGGAAACAGCAAAGGAATATGTAAGGAACACACAGTTAGTAATATTTTGAGATTATAGCTTTAAAAACATGGAGAAATAAATCGAGAACAGAGCGCACTTTTTTGTGCGCAATAAATATACAGTTTTTAGCTCACCTGAGCCGAAGGCTCAAGTGAGCTTTTCTGATCACATTTTGTCCGGCATCCGTCTGTCTGTCTAGCTGTCCGTCTGTCCTCTGTCTGTCTGTCTGTAAACTTTTCACATTTTCGACTTCTTCTCAAGAACCCCTGGGCCAATTTCAACCAAACTTGGTGCAAAGTATCCTCGGGTGAAGGGGATTCAAGTTTGTTCAAATGAAGGGCCACGCCCTCATTCAAGGGGAGATAATTGGGAATTAATGAAAATTTGGTGGCATATTTTAAAAATCTTCTTCTCAAGAACCACTGTGCCAGGAAAGATGAAACTTATGGGGAAACATCATCAGGTAGTGTAGATTCAAGTTTGTTCAAATCATGACCCCCGGGGGTAGGGCGAGGCCAAAATGGCCGACCAAAGTTTTACATAGAAATATATAGGAAAATTCTTTAAAAATCCTCTTCTCAAGAATGACAAAGCCATAATTCATCATATTTATATAGGAGCATGCTCAGGTAGTGTAGATTCAAGTTTGTTCAAATCATGACCCCCGGGGATAGGGCGGGGCCAAAATGGCTGACCAAAGGTTTACATAGAAATATATAGGTAAATTCTCCCATGGGCCTCTTGTTTCAATGGGTGGCACTGTAGCTTTCTGGTCTATCAATATATTTTTCGGAGAGCTACAGATCTGCAGCTATTTTTGGATTAAAGTTATAATGTATTTCATTATTAAACAATAACATAAGCACTTTTCCTAAATATTAAGAATAAGATTAAAATTTGTGAAAGTGCAAAGATGTGTCAATCAAACCCACCCCAAAAAAAGTTGTGATTGTCCAAATCATGATCCCCAGGGGTAGGGCGGGGTCACAATGGTCGATGAAAATTTTGCATATGAGTACATAGGAAAAATCTTTTCAAGTAGAAGAAAGTCATGATTGGTCATATTTATATTGAAGCATCCTAGAGTAGTGTAGATCAAAATTTGTTCAAATTATGACCCCTAGGGGTAGGGCAGGGTTACAATAAACATTAGGAATATATAGGAACAATCTTTAAAATTATTCTTAGAACAGCAAAGCCATGATTGGTCATATTTATATGAAAGCATCCTCAGGTATTGTAGATTCAAATTTGTTCAAATCATGACCCCCGGGGGTAGAGGAGGTCAACAATGAATGATCAAAGTCTTACATAGGAATATAGAGGAAAAATCTTCTTGAGAACAGCAAAGTCATAATTGGTCATATTTATATGGAAGCATCCTCATGTAGTGTAGATTCATGTATGTTAAAATCATGATCCCGGGGGGTAGGGCAGGGCCACAATGGAAAATATATGCTTTACATAGGAATATATAGGAAATTTTTTTTTACAAATCATCTTGTAAACAGCAAAGCCAGTATTGGTCATATTTATATGGAAAGATTCTTAGGTAGTGTAGATTTATATTGTTCAAATCATGATCCCCAGGGGTTGGGCGGGGCCACAATGGACGATCAAAGTTTAGCACTGGAATGTAGAGGAAATATCTTTTTCTTGAGAATAGCAAAGCCATGATTGGTCATACCGGGTATTTATGTGGAAACATCCTCAGGTAGTTAGATTCAAGTATTTTCAAATCATGACCCCGGGGGTAGGGCAGGGCCACAATGGACAATATATGCTTTACATAGGAATATATAGGAAAAATTTTTAAAAATCATCTTGAGAACTGCAAAGCCATTATTGGTCATATTTATATGGAAAAATTCTTAGGCGGTGTAGATTAAAATTTGTTCAAAGTTTAACATTGGACATTGGAATAGAGGGGAAAAATTTTTCTTGAGAATAGCAAAGCCATGATTTGTCATATTTATATGGAAACATCCTCAGGTAGTGTAGATTCAAGTTTGTTCAAATCATGACCCCCGGGGTTTGGGCGGGGCCACAATGAATAATCAAAGTTTAACATTGGACATTGGAATAGAGGGGAAAAAATTTTTCTTGAGAACCGCGAAGCCATGATTTGTCATATTTATATGGAAACATCCTCAGGTAGTGTAGATTCAAGTATGTTCAAATCATGACCCCCGGGGGTAGGGCGGGGCCACAATGGACGATCAAAGTCTAGCACTGGAATGTAGAGGAAATATCTTTTTCTTGAGAATAGCAAAGCCATGATTGGTCATACCGGGTATTTATGTGGAAACATCCTCAGGTAGTTAGATTCAAGTATTTTCAAATCATGACCCCGGGGGTAGGGCCGCAATGGACAATATATGCTTTACATATGAATATATAGGAGAAATTTTTAAAAATCATCTTGAGAACCGCAAAGCCATTATTGGTCATATTTATATGGAAAGATTCTTAGGTAGTGTAGATTCAAATTTGTTCAAATCATGACCCCCGTGGGTTGGGCGGGGCCATATTGGACGATCAAAGTTTTACATTGGAATACATGTGTAGAGAAAAAATCTTCAAAATTCTTTTTCTTGAGAATAGCAAAGCCATGATTGGTCATATTTATATGGATACATACTCAGGTAGTGTAGATTCAAGTATTTTCAAATCATTACCCCAGGGGGTAAGGCAGGGCCACAATGGACAATATATGCTTTACATAGGAATATATAGGAAAAAAAATTTCAAAACCATCTTGAGAACAGCAAAGCCATTATTAGGGCCCCACTTGGCGGGCGCCCTATAGTAATCAATTAGTCTGTCCGTCCGTCTGTCCGAGATCTCTTGTCCGGGGCATATCTTCTCTCTCCTTGGCCCAATCTGGCTCATACTTCACCCACAGAGTGCTTTTGGGTAACCAGTGTGCAGTGACCTTGAACCAGGTTTCTAGGTTAAAGGTCAAGGTCATAGCTAAATTATATGAAAAATCCTTGTCCAAAGCATATCTTCTCTCTCCTTGGCCCAATCTGGCTCATACTTCACCCACAGAGTGCCTTTGGGTAACCGGTGTGCAGTGACCTTGAACCAGGTTTCTACGTTAAAGGTCAAGGTCATAGCAGAATTGTATGAAAAATCCTTGTCCGGAGCATATCTTCTCTCTCTTTGGCCCAATCTGGCTCATACTTTACCCTCAGAGTGCATTTGGGTAACCCATGTGCAGTGACCTTGAACCAGGTTTTAGGTTAAAGGTCAAGGTCATAGCAGAATTATATGAAAAATCCTTGTCGGGAGCATATCTTCTCTCTCCTTGGCCTAAACTGCCTCATACTTCACCTGGAGAGTGTCTTTGGGTAACCAGCGTGCAGTGACCTTGAACCAGGTTTCTAAGTCAAAGGTCAAGGTCATAGCAGAATTATATGAAAAATCCTAGTCCGGAGTATATTTTCTCTCTCGTTGGCCCAATCTGGCTATTACTTCATTCATAGACATCCACTGGTCAATGGATGTGCAGTGACCTTGGTCGAAGTTTCTAGGTCATTGTCAGAATTACCCTTTCTGTTTAAAATCTTTGTTTGGTGCATAATTCTTTGTGTTTAATTCCAGTAAATTTATATAACTCGGGATACAAGATAACTTCAATAAATATTAGTAAATTTGCAGTATCCGTGAAGTCGTACTTAATGACTTTTACTGTATAACCCAAATGTTCCTCTTCAAAATAATCCCTTTTAAATGACCTTACATTTTCATGTTCATTGTTGAATGCGGGGCCCTTTGAGATGGCCACCATCTCAATGATATCTAGTTGGTCATATTTATAAGGAAACACTCTTAGGTAGTATAGATTCAAATTTGTTCAAATCATAACCCCCGGGGGTTGGGCAGGGCCACAATTAACTAGCAAAGTTTAACATAGGTTGTAATCGGAGCAAATGTCAGATATGAATGGAGATTACAGATTAAGCTTAATGTTGTAAACAAATAATTATGGTACTTGAGTAGAATTCAAAAATTTAATTAAAGATTCTATTTTTAGATGGCAAAGAGAAAGAAATCTCTTACTGGTAGAGTGGGACGTGAAAGAGAAAGAGTTAAAAAGAGGCAGGCGAGAGAGAAACTTGCAGCACAAGATGCGTCCCCAGACGAGAAAGTGGCAGAGTCTTCTGTTCCTTGCGGGACAGAGGATGGAGCTATGTCAGCTCCTCCCGGTAATTTTCCGGGGCTTGGTTCCATGGGGTTACCACCTAAAGAGGAAAAACCCCTGGCCAGGATGCAGGCCTCACCTCGAGTGAAAATGCATTCACCTGCCCCGAGGTTGCCACCTCCTCGGGGAAGTCGTCTGTTTGTCCGTAACGAGGACAAGGCACCGTCCCCTGACTCCCCACCGTGGGTTTGTGCTCCACCGAGGGCACCTGGATCGGACATAGGGCATATGTCTGGTCCAGCAGGTCAGGCGCAGCTGGATACCTCCTGGGAGGAGGAGACCAGTAGAATATCAAAAGATGAAGGAACTTTAACGAAATCAAAAATGGAAACTGAACGAATATCAAAAGGAAACTTGAACGAATACAATATAGAATCTGATATGAGAACATATGAGCATGAGAAGAATGAGAATCATACTGTTTCAGAGAATGGTTGTGAAGAGAAAAAGAATGAAAGAAATGAAGATCAGTATTGGCAGAATTTACCAAAGGAAGGTAACTATGAAATACCCTTTTCAGTTCAGGGCTCTTTTCATCAAGCTCATCCTATGTTTGAAGAGAATGCTGGGACTCAGTGTGTAGCAAATTGTTTAGCAGGGTTAGCTTATCACAAACTCAAAAATGCAAAGAGTTGGACAACAATGGATATGGACAGAGTTTTAATGACAGGGGATGAACTGTACACATATTTGCAAAGAAGCTCAACAACCAATCATAGGTATTTGCTTGTAGAGGAATTGCCTCAATTCTTTGAGTGCTTTAACCGATCATATCAGTTTCATACCATTCAGACTTATGCAAGTGTTATTATGGAAAATGATGAAATAAACTATGCAGAGTTTAATGCACTTCCACTAGACGAAGCACTTCAGGTTGCCCTTTCAGACACTGATGGCTGTTTTGTATGCTTTGGTGGAAATACAATGTTTATAGGAGTGACAGAAAGTGGTTTCTTTGCTTTTGATTCTCATTCTAGACGTTCAGATGGAATGTTAAGTGTGACAGGAAGGAGCACAAGAGTTTTATTTCAGCATGTAAATGAAGTGTATTCTCATCTTCAAGGTCTTGCTTTTTCAATGGGATATACAAGAAATGTTGAATGTAACTTGACTAGCGTCTCCTGCAAGATGAGTAATATAGCAAATGATATGTCTGAGGTAGAAGAAAATATTGATGGAAAGTCTGAAGGGTCAAAGTTATTTGGGGATACTACACATGAAACAGGTGATGCAGATGATGACGTGTTTTTCATTGGTCATGAGCAGTTCCAGTTCAGCTTCATTCCCTTGAGTACAAACTTGAAAAAACACCTTTGTGAAAATTTGAACATTCCATTCATTAGCATTGGAAATTCTGGTGAAATCAAGTGCTATAGAACTAATATTTCAGAACCCTTATCCGAAAAGAAAATAATAGGAGATGGGAACTGCTTCTTCAGAGCTGTTTCATTCAGTCTTGCAAATTCGGAAGATTTCCATTATGTTATACGCAATGCTGTCTGTGAGCATATAATAGAAAACAAAGAGTTGTTTCAACCATTTCTAAGAGATGGTGTAGAGTCTGTTCAAAGTCACCTGTCGTCGACACAAATGTCACAGGAAGGTAGTTGGGCTACTGAGGTTGAAATATATGCAACAGCTCATCTTCTGAACGTTGATATATACACTTTCTCTAGAGAATCTTGGTTAAGATTTTTAGTTGTTGAAGTAGAACCTTGCGTGCAGAGCAAAACTGAAGCAATTTATTTGAATCACCACGAGCAGAACCATTACAATGTTGTACTGTCTGTTAATGGGGAGGAAATTGACTTAGTATCAAGACAATGGTTTAGAACTTCTCAAGAGTATGGAAAGCGATACCAAAACCGAACACGTATGCAGGTGAAAAGGCAATCTAGGACAGTAAAAAGAAAAAAATTTAGTCCAGTCAAAAAACGGAACGAATATTTAAGACGGAGATATAAGGAAGATGAAGAATTCAGAGAGAAGAAGCTCAAAACATTGTTTGTTAAATATGCGACAGATGATAATTTCAGGGAAACTGTCAAGAATAGAAATATTGATAGATATGCAATGAACGAAAAGCATAGGGAGGGTGTCAGGAGGAGAAGTAATGACAAGTATGCGACAGATGATGAACATAGAGAAAATGTCAAAAAGAGAAGCACTGAGAAATATGCATTAGACATACAGCATAGGGAAGATGTCAAAAGGAGAAGTATACAAAAGTATGAAATGGATGAGGAACATAGAGAAGAGGTAAAAGCTAAAAGTAAACTGAAGTACAAGACAGATGAAATGCATAGAATTCTAGTCAATACTGCGAGTACAAAGAGATACAGGGAAAATGAAAATTTCCGAGAAGCAAAGCTCAAAACTGCAGCTAACAAGTACAAAAGTGATGGTGGTTTCAGATCAGAAGTTAAAGAATCGAGTAGACATCAATACGATTCCAGTGCAAAAACAAGAATGAAAAAGAAAGATATGGTAAAAAGTCAGAGAAATGCTCAAAGAGCTAGACTGGAAAATCAAGAAGAGGTTGTGAAAGTCTTTAAGGAAAAGGTTGTGCAAGGCATTGATTATTCTTGCTGTTGTTGTGATCGGCTCCTGTTTCAGAATCAAGTTCAAAGATGTGAAAGAAAAGCATATGCCAAGACTGAGCAGACAGCGCATGTTGCAGACTTGTGTATTCAAGATAAGTACTATCACCGATGCATAGAATCATGTCCAAAGGATTGCATTAAGTCAACGTTATGGATTTGTTATACTTGTCACAGGAAAATCTTGAGCGGAAATCTTCCAGCAGAAGCTGCAGCTAACAAAATGGCCTTGGAAGATATTCCAAAGGAATTGATAGAATTGAACAGTCTTGAGAAACACTTAATTGCAATACACATACCTTTCATGAAAGTCATGAGTCTTCCTCATGGTGGTCAGAAAAATATCCACGGGCCAGTTGTATGTGTACCATCAGATCTGAAGAAAGTTACAAGTTTACCAATGAAACCCGGGGACGATCTTCTACTTAGAGTCAAACTAAAGAGAAAGTTGAATTACAAAGGGTACAGTGAGTACCAGTTTGTTGATCCAAAGCACATATGTGAGGCATTGAAGTTTTTAAAACTTAACAACCAATGGTATGAAGATGTAGCTGTCGATACAAATTGGATAGGACAAATTGAAGATGGTGAAGAAATATCGGAGGTTGGCGATTCACAATCAGAGGATGGTGATCAACAGCGCACTGTGTCGGATACTTGTCTACAACCTGTTGATATTGGTCAGGAGGTTCTTGATCATTACTTCGATGATATTTATGACATTGCACCAGGAGAAGGCAACAATCCAGTAAGGATGTTACAGGAAGAAGGGAACGAGGCAAAAACATTTCCATACCTTTTCCCGAGTGGGCGTTTTTCATGGAATGACATGAGAGATACACGAATAACACTGTCAAGATACTTCAACAATCGTCTTATGAATACAGACGTGAGATTTGCGAGAGACAGTAGTTACATTTTCTTCAGTCAGTATATGTCTGATTTAAACCAAGTTATTGAGAAGACCCAGATATCTGTTAGAAAATCAGTCAGAAGAATAGGAAATGACCAAGAAGTGACAGCAAATATGGTACAGGACCCTGAAGTACTTTCCAAGTTGATGAAAAGTGACGAGGCTTTGCGATTCATGCAACCTATTCGTGGAACACCAGCATACTGGTCAGCCGCACAGAAGGATTTGTTTGCTATGCTTCGGCAACTAGGAATACCTACTTGGTTTTGCTCCTTCTCTGCTGCTGAACATAGATGGAATGATGCGGTCGCAACAATATTGAAACAACAAAATGATAACAGAGATGCTTGTATGTTAGACTGGTCTGAAAAGAATGAGGTTCTAAGAAGTAATCCTGTCACTGTTGCCAGAATGTTTGAGCATAGATTTCATGTTTTTCAGAGAGAAGTGATATTTTCACCTTCAGAACCAATTGGGAAAGTGTCCGATTTCTTCCAAAGAGTCGAATTTCAACAAAGGGGATCACCTCACATGCACTGCTTATATTGGATAGAAAATGCACCAAAACTTGATGAAGACGGAGAGGAAGCCGTATGTAATTTTATAGAAAAATACGTAAGTTGTGCAGTGCCCTCTGAGAAAGAAGATATGGAGCTGATGAACATTGTCTTAGAGGTACAACAGCATAGCAAAAGCCATTCAAAATCATGCCGAAAGAAGGGCACAGAGTGTAGATTTAATTTCCCAAGACCACCTTCTGTATGCACATTCATCAATTCTCCACTTGAGGAAGACGATACTGAGGCTACAGATTTGCAAAAACAACAGTCAATTGCTAAGGAAATTCTTTTACAAGTTTGGAATGAAGTGCAAGACGAAGGAAATAAATCAAAAACGACCGAAGATATTTTCAGTCATCTAGGATTAACACAAGCGCATTATGAGGAAACTCATAAAAGATTAGCAAAAAAGAGAACTGTAGTTCTTGAGAGAAATCCAAATGAACTCTGGATAAATCAGTACAATCCATGCCTCTTAAAATGCTGGGATGCCAATATGGACATTCAGTTTGTTTTGGATCCATTTAGTTGCATTGTCTACATCATTTCATACATTTCAAAGTCTGAGAGAGAAATGGGAATGCTGTTAAAACAAACAAAAATAGAAGCAGAAGAAGGCAACGAGAGTGCACGAACAACTCTAAAGAAAATTGGTTCTGCCTATCTGAATCACAGAGAAGTGAGTACTCAAGAAGCTGTTTATCGTGTATGTAACCTTAAAATGAAGGAATGTTCAAGAAAGGTAGTGTTTGTACCAGTGGGTGATAATCCAACTCGACTAACTAAGCCATTGTCTCAACTAAAGAGAAATCGCAGAAAGGTGAACGATGAAAATGTTGAGAATGACGAGGAAGAAGATGACATTTGGATGTCAAATGTAGTAGAAAGATATGAAAATCGACCTGACGATCCATTGTTTCAGAATATGTGTTTGGCAGAATTTTGCTCTGATTTCAGAATACTTGCTAAATCACAGCTTCCAAAGACTCAAAACGAAAATGTGTTTGAACTGAAGAACGCAAAAGGTTTTGTCCAAAGAAGAACTCGTACAAAGCCAGCTGTAATAAGATACCCTAGATTCAACCAAGAGAAAATGTCAGAAAAGTATTACCAATGTCTACTACAGCTCTTCTTACCTTACACGACACAAAGTCAGTTGAAGCCTCCTGGGTTTGAGCTTTTTGAAGCATTTTATGAAAATGGATATGTACGAATACCAGGAAAGCAGAAAGTGCAGTCAGTGAAATCCATTGTTGACAAAAATAGAACACGTTATGCTCAAAGTGAGGATATCATTGCAGAGGCAATGGAAACATATGAAAATATCGGAGAACCAGAAGACGCTTGGGCAAACCTTTGTCCAGAGACAGAATTAATGAGACAAGAATGCTCTGCCATAAGAAATGAATGTCAAGATTTGATTGATACAGAAGAGCTTCCAGACTTGCAAACTGAAAACAGTTCAGACGTTCTGTACAAAGTACAACAGAATGCACAATCAAGGGAGGAAAGTATGCAGATTCTTCAAAGTTTAAATGAAACACAAATGAGAGTATTTTACTTGGTACGTGAATGGTGTTTGCAGAAAATTTTTGGAGAAAAAAGTGATGCACTGCATATTTTTATAACAGGTGGAGCAGGAACAGGCAAGAGTCATCTTATCAAAGCCATACATTTCGAAGCATCACGAATACTAGGGAAAAAAATGACTTCTCCTGACAGTGTTTCAGTACTACTGGCCGCTTTTACCGGAACAGCTGCATTCAACATTGGAGGAAATACGATCCATCATTTATTTTCATTGCCCAAGTATATGTCTCTGCCATATGAACCATTGAAAGAACAGAGTTTAAGTGAAATGAGAGTTCAACTTGGAGATCTGCAAATTTTGGTTATTGATGAAATATCCATGGTGTATAAAAGATTATTATATTATGTTCATGAGAGATTAGTACAGATAAAGAAATGCAAGGAACCATTTGGTGGAGTATCAGTGCTTGCTGTGGGAGATTTCTACCAGCTTCCTCCTGTAAAACATCGGAAAGATGAAAGACTGTATAAAGACAATGCTCTTTATCCTGTTGATTATTGGGTAGAATTTTTCAAAGTTGTGGACTTGACTGAGATCATGAGACAACGTGAAGACATTCCGTTCGCAACTGCACTGAATTCACTTCGGACTAGACCAGTAACACAACCACTGGAAGAGGAAATACGCTCTATCTTGAATGACTGTGTAAGGGAGGGTCCAGAAGATGTTCTCCACGTCTATGCGACAAATGACGAAGTCAATGCGTATAACTTGACAATGCTCAAAAGCACTTGTCCAGACCTTGTTGAGATTGACGCTAAAGACTTTTCGAAAGATCGAACAACAGGCAAGCTAATCCTAAGGAGTAAACCAATGAAGTCCAAAACAGACAATCTTTCTAGCAGTTTGTTAATGGGTGTCAGTGCAAGAGTTATGCTCACAAGAAACTGTAATGTGGATGACGGCCTAGTAAATGGAGTAATGGGACACATCTCTCATTTTGTGTATAGCCAGAAGCAAGCTACAAAAACCGTTATTGCAGTCGGAGTAATATTTGACAATGTCAACGTTGGGAAGAAGTCTGGAAGAAAAACGAAAAATGGAAACATTGTTCTTATCGAAAGGGTTCAAGAGGAGATACTAGAACAGAAAAGACAAAATGTAGTTCGACATCAGATTCCATTACGCTTGTCGTGGGCATGTACTTCTCACAAAGTACAAGGAATGACAGTGGACAAGGTCGTAGTCAACCTAGATAGGGCATTCTCTCCTGGACAAGGATATGTAGCTTTGAGTAGAGTGACATCAAAAGAAGGATTATTTATTGAAACAAACAATGTTGAGTTGCTACAGAAGAAAATATACTGTGATCCAGAAGTCAAAACAGCCTTGCATGGTATGCCAAAATTGGAACTTCCTTACTTTAATCAATTAGAACAAAGGATGACACTTTTCCTTCACAATATTCAAAGTCTCAACAAACATTTTGAGGATTTGCAAAAAGATATCCGATACAGGAATGCAGATATCATCTGCCTAACAGAGACTTGGTTGAGATCTGGACAAAATGTTAGTTCATTTTCAATAGAGGGATTTAGTTTTCACCAAGTAGCCAGAGGAGATGCATATGATGACAGCAATGGTCACGTTTTACAGTTGCGTTCATCAAAGGGTGGAGGTGTGGCTGTTTACATTAAAGATACAGGACAGGAAAATATTCTATGTTCCCTACCTGTGAAGAACGTGGAGGCCATATGCGTGAAATGTCTCTTTCCAGATATGGTAGTTTTAACTGTCTATCGGCCGAACTCTTTGGATGCTACTCAGTTCTTAATACAATTTGAAAAAGTAGTTGCACATTTCAGATCACAGTGTAAATTTCTTGTTTGTCTTGGAGACTTCAATGAAGATGCGAGACCTACAGGGCTTATTCAGACCTTTATGCTTAATCAAGGTTTTAAGCAAATGGTTGATTTTAATACGACAGAAGGGGGAACTATCCTTGACCATGTACAGTGGACCCTCATTTATCCGGACGCTTTGGTTCCCAGTCAATTTGTACGGATATGTGAAGCATCCGGATATCTGAATCACCAGTTAAACAAGACAGAATAACATTTTTAAATTTCGTTCCGATGAAAAATCGTTCAGATACTGAAGCATCCGGATATCTGGCGTCCGGATATCTGAAGGTCCACTGTATACTTATCAACATCTTTACAGGCAAAAGTGAAAAAGCTACCAACATATTACAGTTACCATGATGCATTAATGGTAACAATTATGACAGACAAAGAATAAAATTGGCTCCTCTTACTAACTAGTGTATGTGTCCAGACTCTCTCTTGTAATTTGGTTTAAAATAAGTAGGGATGGTAGTTGTATTTGATGAACTTGTTATTCCATCAGAGCGATTACTATAATTTCTTTTCTCAAAAATATAAGTCACGAGGAAGGAGATTACCGGACAAATCAACTCCAAAAAAATAGTACATATATAAAGAGTTATCTCATCTAAGATATCATTTGAGAAGCGTGCCCCTTTTTCATCTCAAATGGGAGCATATTTAATTAACAATTATTCAGAAGTTTCTTTCTAAATAGTTAGAATAAATTATGGATTTAAATACATACGAGGGGCGTTCAATAAATAATGTCATTGGGGCTCAGAAAGAAGCAAACAACGCTTTTCAATGAATTAGTCTTCATGATTTTACTTATTAATCTATTTCAATTCAAACACATGTCCATAACATTTTTTATCCATTTTCTGATTGTTTTTAGAACTCATTTTTGGGTATGACCCTTAGTATACTGGAAAATGGCAGATACAATGATTTCCTGGACTTGTTTTTTCCTTCTGAAAGGTGTTTTATTCAAGTTTGGAAATAGAAACAAGTCAAAAGGTCAAAGATCTGGCAAATATTGTTAATATGAAAAACATTAACTTTCTGTTTATCCGGTAATCCCCTTTACTCTTTAGGGCATGCGGGTTTAAATGCTGTCATGAAGAAATTCAATGTAGTGGATTCCTGATTCTGGGTCCTTTCTCTGATCAACCTTTCGATTTATGTGCAAAAAAACTGCTTTCTAGACACCTCCAGATATTAAACTGTCTCCCCGAATACGAATTTGAACAATAATACCACTAATATTTAAGAAAATTGCATATAAATCTGTTTTTGTGCTCTTGCATACCTTTGCTCTTGACAGACCTTCGCCGTTTTTATCAAGTACATCTTATGGTTAATTGTATTTTAATGGTTTTAAGCAATAGATTCATGTTCCAATATCTGTTTGAATATAAAACAAACGTGGATTTTTACAATTAGTGATATTTTAAAATAATTGTCAAGACTTTTGTTCACGCTGTCGTTTTCACTATTTTTTCAAAATACAGGGTGACCTTAGAGTACCAAGCTTTAATACTGTCAAACGTTTCTTAAAAACAGTGTAAACTACCCCCGATGTGATGTCTATCAAATTTGCTATGTGCCTAAAAATCAATCATACAACATCAAATATTATTTGTTGTAATTTGGCAAACAGTACATAAGTTCTTTTAATTTTTTTTGGCAAGGAGGGTACCCATTTTTTTATGCCCGTTATATTAATTTTTAAGTTTGAAATCCACCTGCTAATTTGTCTATAAAACAGGCATTGGTTGCTGTAAATGACACATATTTCAATGAGTATTTCTTTGGGATTTTTAAAAAGTTTTACAGCAGCTTTAATGTTGCTTTTATTTCAACTCTAGTTTACTATTTTTTACTATTCATTTATAATGCAGTGTCTCGAGTAGCCCTTGTTTCCCAGCTTCTCACGATAAAACTATATGATGAAAAGTGGTCACATAAACTGTTATAAATTCATTAAAGATTCAATAATGACAGAAAGTCAAGCTTTATGTCATATGACTGCTATGTTGTATGTAATCGAGCTAATGACATTATTTATTGAACGCCCCTCGTATTTGCAAAAAGAAATCTATAATATACTATTGCAAATCGTTAGATGAACAAATTTGCTTCAGTAATGTATAGGCCTAACGAAAAGATAAAGAAACGCAGGGTATTATAATATTCGAAACAAAATGACGCATGACCAAAAATTTCGAAAATTGGTAAGATGAGAATGATTTGAAGTATCAGTCCTTTTTTTATGATCTCACTTGAAATCTCTTGTCATTCAGCACAACTTTTCTTTGTGTTTTGACAAATAATGAACAGGGACGAAGATATGAAATAAAACGTGTCAAATTTTGTGAGATTTGTCCAAGACATTTTTTCGGGCTCTATCGTAATTCGACGCCTTTTGAGCTAGAAAGATTTGGACACCTGCCTTCAACTCAACATCATCCTTTTCTTTCATTGAAAATCTTTAAATATTTTAAGTCGTGTCTAAGAGTTTCCAGAACGAGCTAATCCTCTGAGCATTCTGGCCCCTGTGACCCCTCATTATGTAATATGTGATCTAAATTTCATAATATGTTGTATCAAATCGTTAAGATGAATATCTTTTTTTCCGTAATGTGTTACAACAGATAAAGATTAAAACCTCTTGAAGATTTTAAAGAGTTTTTGTTCATACCTTTTCAGTGACTTCGTTTCGTTGTGGAGATATGCGGAATGGAAATATTTTGGGGTCATCCCTATAAGTCCTTAAAGGTGATAAATCCTCTGCTTACGCATATGAAATTATACTTTAACTTTTATGATTTTTCAAAGCAAATGTATAAGCTGAATAAAATACAAACAATTACAGCATGGCGTGCAAAATTTGGCAAGAAGGGCACTTCAACTTGACAAATTTATATAGGAATAATAGACATTTGTATCATTAAGAGTTATCTCTTTTATCAGAGTATCAATGTACCTTAATGGTGCCATTATACAAAAACTATACACATTATTCTGAGTATCTGTTGTTCAATACTGTTTATCAAAATACTCACATTTTCCGAGATATAACGCATCAATAGTTTAGCTTTCTGGCCCTTTGTGACCCCTAATTACGTTACATATTATCAAAATTTTATATCTTTTTGCTAATCGTAAAGATACGTATCTTTGCTTCAATTATGTATTACAAAATATTGTTCATTATAGATTTATAGATGAAAGATTTCTTGAAAAGTATCTTCGTTTTCAAAACAATATTCTGAGCATTTTTTTTCAATATTGTTTATTAAAATATCATCCCTTTTTCAAGATATAATGAGTCAAATATTAAGCATTCTGATGCTTTGCAGCCCCTAACTGCATAACATATGATCAAATTTTTATAATTTGTTGTTGCTTCTGTAATGTATTACAAAATTATGATCATTAAACAGTCAAAGATGAATCATTTTTGGTCCCTCTGGGCCTCTGATTTGAAGACCCCTCTTTCTTGATATCAAATGAAAGAGCTTGTGATTTTAAGACTTTTTATTCAATACCTAATGCAAAATGTATAGAAAATTTTTTCTGACCATCTTTTGATCAATATTGCTTATCAAAATATTCCCCCTTTTCGAGATATAAAACGTCAAAATTTAGTATTATGGTCCCTTTTGATCACTAATTACTTAACATATGATCTAAATTTTACAATATACTGTTCTAAATCGGTAAGATTAATAGCTTTTCTCTATTAATGTATTCCAAAATATTGATCATTAAAGAGTTAAAGATGAAAGTCTTTTGCCCCATCTGAGTTCCTAATTTGAGGGATCAACCCCTTTTTCTTGATTTCAAATGAAAGTTCTCGTAAATTTGAAGAATTTTTGTTCAATATTCAGCATTAAAGATTAAACAATCTGGCCCCCGTGTGAGCGTAACATATGATCAAATCGTTAAGATGAATACCTTTGCTTCTGTAATGTATCACAAAATATTGATCATTGGAGTTTTATGAAGAGACTTACTTTTACATTCGACAGCTGACTTTTACATTTTAGTAACAGGTGTTTGTCTCTGTTTAAAATATAAAAGTCGATGAATGTAAAAGTAAGTCTCTTCATAAAACTCAATGAAGAAGTTAAAGATAAGACTTTTGGCCCCTCCCAAATGAGCCCCTACTTTGACGAGTCTACCCGTTTTCTTCATATCGAATGAAAGGTCTTGTGATTTTGAAGACTTTTTGTTCAACATCTTTTCA